TTCCTTCCTCCTGTGAAGCCCGAAGTCAGCTAAAGGGCTAATGATAACTATCAAAACGCCTGCCATTTGAAATAAATAAATATTTCTACCATATTACCAAACTTCGCATAAATATATAACCCTAGAAATTTCAAATATCATGGAAAACAGGTACGGGGATTGTCTTAATTTTCCGATATAAAAATGATTTGCTTAATATTTTTTGCCAATATTTTACGCCTTACGACTAGAGAAGAAAATATAACTAATTATTGTAATATACCATAAATATTGGTGTGATCATACAGCATTATTTTGCATAAAATAGTTACAGAAAAATACAAATTTGACACAATTTCAAAGTATCAGTGATCTAACCTCTAATTGCTTAATATTTCGATCCGTGTAATATTTGTTTTAACATGACATCTAATTGATCGCATTATTAAGAATAACATGTGACTTGGCACAGTGTTTGATAGGCCAATTATATCACCTATATGTCTGAGAATGCGTGCATTTATTTTAGATCATGTGTCATTATTAATTCTAACTTGTCAATGTCTGTGTAGTGTGGAATCACCATTTCTGCTGGAATGGTAGTTATGCAAGAATAATAATTTAATGATACGTATTTTGATCCGGCATATCTTTTAATGCAACGGCTTAATAGATATTCATTTCTTCCCTTTTCTTTTGCATGCTTGCATTACTTTTGCATATGGTAATGTAATTCAGACTTCATTTTAGTCCCTAAAACAGCAAGGTTTGAAAATATGTCAATTAATCTCATTGGTGGACACATTACTAAATACTAATTTGGGAAAAATTAAACCTCGAATTCAAAACGACTTCCTACTCACAAAGTAATGATAACACTTTAAGATAATTTTAAAGAAGTTTTTTTGCTAAATGTAAAGCAAGAAGGAATGTTGATCTCTTGTAAAATAACATAACTTTTGGTTTTGAAAATATATGCCTATTGTACCGAACTCTTTCGGGCTATTAAACATCTGTCAGTAGGTATATATATCTCGATAATATACATTCTCTTATTTAGTAAAAGAAACAATGCTTTAAGGAACTGAAGTTACTATTATATACAGACTTTTCGGAAGTGTTGGCCGTTTTTAGGAAAAGTGATTGTCTTTGATAAGTCAACTATTTCTGCATGATCGACATTCAATGGGTCCCTTCCAGCAAAAGAATTCAGTATTCTTGTGCATTTGAGAAATAAATCGGCGATTTTGAATCAGTCAGCTATGCACAAGAAAGAAGCTTAACTACAAATAGGGCATTACAAATGAAACTCCCCAAAAAAATACCCTTCGAAGTTCTGTGCTTCTTTTTTGTTGTCTAGAATGTATTGATCGAATTATTAATTGGAGGATAACCGTTTCTTTTGATTTATAAGATGATGTTTTTCAATCAACTATCCTTAAGGCGGGCTGTTCGTGCAGCTTTTACAGAGATTTTTGACTGCAAATGACGCCTCCCCAGACGTAAGCCTGGAGCGCATACGAAGGATGATTAAAATAAACACATGTGAACGCCGCTTGAATTTCTCACTGTAATTAAGATGCAGTAGTGCAATTTATTAACTTCTTAGTTAACCCTAAATAAAAATTACATCAGTACAGCAACAATTGGCTATAAAATTATGGAAAGTAGCAACACCCTAATTCGATAAATCGCCTATTCCGAAAGTGAGGTACACGTGGTTAGGTTTTACAAGGCAATGATAATGTTTGGGTTGGGGGGGGGGGGGGGAACGAGTTGATCACGAAGACGATCGTATCGAAAGTAAATTAGCATCTGAGGTAGTGAAAACTGTACAAAGGAGCGATCCTAAATTATCGAGTACTTGAGCACGAGGTAATACAAGAGCACTTGGACCTTAAGCATTCTATTACGACATATCTGCCAAATTCGGCAGCTCTCCGTAAAAATTTTCGTACATTTTACTGTATTTTTGTTTTGCCCTCTCTATAATTTCCGTGCTTCTGATTGAACTCTTTTGTTCTCTTAAAGCTGGAAACAAAAAACTAGAACCTTTTAAAGGAAACCGCCTCTGTTTTTATACGAAATTTATTTAAAAAGCACTAACTAGAATTTTTAAACCCTTTTTATCCCAGTTTGATTAGATAAATAGTGCCACCTCTAATTGCATTCTTGTTTAAGTGGGAGTTGAAGGGAAATGTTAATGCCATGTATGCATCTAACAGCCTGTGCATACTTCTGGCTTGTATGCGAAAGCCCGAAGTCTGAATGAACGACTGCGCCTTAGCCATATGGATATTGCCTTCACTTCGTTGGGGGGGGGGGGGGGAAAGGATGTACCAGTAATTTGTAAATAATCTTCTTCCTACAATTAAAATATTTCGTAAAATCATGAACCTTGTCAGGCAGGAAGGAGTGTCGTAAAGTGTTGTGTGACTATAATGCATGCACACACACACACACGCACAAACACACACACACACACACAGACACAGACACACACACACACACACATTTATGGTCTAATCTTCAGGTGTCCCAGTTTCCCCGACCGCAGGGGTCGCAACCTAGATTTTAAACCCACCACCAATAAACTTTTTAACCAATTCGTAATAAATACGCCTGCTTCCGTTAATGACAACTACTTCCGAGGTAAACCACTAACAATCAAATTAAAACTATAATACAGATCTAGAGTAAGTTACAATTCTTTTGAATAGCATGCAAATTCATAGGGCAAATCCACATTTCAAAGGGCGTAAGATTGAAGTATTGCTGGAGTTTAAAACAAAATATATTTGTGAAATGCACATGGTAAACTTGAAGTCGTAGCAATATTAACAAACGCAAGCTCAATTAAATTGTTATAGTGGTGTTAAACGTCCTCTATTTAAACTTGCCAATAAATTCGTTCACTGGTACTAGTTAAAGTGCCAAGGGGTGTGCGATAGACTTACATCCACGTGGTGCACCTTGGGCAACGCATACTTAAACGGCAAAACCTGTCTGTTAACCGTCAGTTGATTTCTGACTTCTAACCACCATCACCCCACCGTATGTCATATTCGACCACCTCCACAGTACTCATCTTAACTTCTCTCTGCCTTTGCGCCTGTCTGTCTCTTTTAAATCAGTGAATTATTATTGCGTCCCCCCCCCCTCGAATTTTTGTCACTTTGATGTCCCTCCTCCTCTCTGTGAAGCCCGAAGTCAGCTAAAAGGCTAATGATAACTATCAAAACGCCAGCCACTTGAAATAAATAAATTTACAGTATCATCCATTGGTATGGCCCATTCATTTCAGATAAATAAATTGGTTTTGGAAAATTAAATGAAACAAAAATATATCCGAAGAATTACTTACACAAAGTCGGTTTGGAAATTCAATGCCATTGAATTGCAATTGCTCTAAATTGTCTTCGTTGGAAGCTTGACTTTCGCCATCCTTCAGAATATTAATGATGGAGGAAAATACATCTGCCTCAAAATTCGCTTCACAGGAAGCATCTTTTGCAATTGAAGCAGTTGAACCGCTTAAATTTTGTGTCATGGCTTATAAATGGGGGAAAGTAGCAGTGGACATTGCAAGCGGGCACCAGTTCATCAGTATCGTTCGCCCATTGGTTAAATTGTTTAGAATTACAATATCCTTAAAAATGCATATATATATTGAATAAAAGTTGATTAAAAACGTATATTTCAAAATTATTTTTTAAACACAACGAAAATTTTATTATTTAGGCATTTTCATAACATTAAATATAATTTGTTTAAGTTCATATAACTTCGCTTACCAAATCAGCCATTTGTTTTTTGCTTTGTCTAAGGTAAGGTGGTTGTGGTTTTTTATTAATACTCAGTTCATATTTATGCGTTCCGCTGGCGATATTAAGGCCGATCAGGACAAGAAGTTATTTGTCGGTGGATTACATCATTCTACTACCGAGAGTCAGCTTCGTGAATTTTATTCTCAATGGGGTGAAATCACAGATGCAGTTGTAATGAAGGATCAACGAACGGGGAAATCCAGAGGTTTCGGCTTCGTTACCTACGCTGACTCTGCATCAGTTGATGCAGCTCAAGCTGCTCGACCACACACTATTGATGGCAAAACTATTGATTCTAAGAGGGCTATGCCTAGGGAAGAGAAAGGTGTAGAAGTACATGCAGCCGTTAAGAAAGTTTTTGTTGCTGCATTGAAAAAGGATGTCACTAACGAAGATCTCTCTGAGTATTTCTCCCAGTTCGGTACCGTAGTTGATGCTTCCGTAGTGGTTACTAAGGACCGTAATGAGCATAGAGGATTTGCTTTTGTAACTTTTGATGATACTGATGCTGTCGATAAAGTTATCCTTTCCAAGCCACATTATATTAAGGATAATAAAGTTGATGTTCGTAAGGCTCTTAGTAAGGATGAGATGAATCGCATTCGTTCTAGGCCTCCTCGCCCGGATCCAAGAGCGTCTTGGTATAATGGTAAGATTGATTAGCCGTAAATCTATCTTTGTGCATAGGTAATTCTTGGAGCGGTGGTAATCGTTATGATAATAGTTATAGTCAGGGTTATGACTACCAAGGTTATGGCAATGGTTGCGGCGGTGGAAATGGCTATGGTAAGCCTTCAATTTGCTCTTCTAAGTCCTTAGGTTATTCTCAAGGTTATGGTTATAATGAACCACCAGCCTCTAATTGGGGCCCTAATTCATCAAATGGCGACAATGGTTTTCCTCCATATCAGCAATCTTATGGTGGTGGCCCTATGAGAAATGCTCCTCCATCTTATCCTCCTAGGTCTGCACCATATGGGGGTCAAAATAATTGGCAACCACGTCAGTAGGAAGTAGCGGTTGTAGGAATGAAGCAGTGCATTTCTTTACTTATTTTAATTGTGTATATTCATTCTCGCACTGCAGTTTGTATCATGTCGTATATCGTCAGTATGAATTTGTTTTCCTTATTTGATAAGAACTTAGCCTCCTTGTTTAGGCTTCATCTGTCATTTTTTGAAATGCTTTAAGTCTCAGTACATTAACTAGTAATGGAATATGTTGACTTGATTTTCTAATTGGTTATTCAGGCTTTTTGGGATTGTGGCGCCGGGATATCAATGTTTCCGACAGGGAATGTTGACGCCGAGCGGAAAATGCAGGTAATACTTAGTTGGCTTGGTTAAAACATTTTCGTACCATAGTTTAGGTATTTTAGGATCTTATTTTATTGTTCTTGTATGCAATAAAATGATTTTTCATGAGTTACTTTCTTTTTTATTGTCTGGGGGTAGGGCTCGTAGCAATGCGAATTGAGGTTGTCACGCGGTTCGGATGAGTCATTGGTCGTGTGGTATAGCGTATCATGATTAGGTTTTGGAAAGGACAGTGCTGTGACGCAGCCTGAAAAAACATTAATTTCGTTGTACCGAGGGGGGTGTGGATGCGTGGGACCCGTAGCCCATCCGTCCAGAGCTAGCGAGGGGCTGGAAGTTGATTGGCTTTTCACCGTTTCTATCTCTGCGTTGACTTTAAGGCCTTAATTGTCATGACTCAATTACTAGTCCATCGTTCAGCCAAAGTGTTCTGCTTATATCGGGTTTAATTTAGCGACCGCATAAAGAAAATCATATTACATGGAGGGGTGTGCGGTGGGCTTACCTCCACATTGTGCACGTTGGGCAACGTATACCCGTACGGCAAAGAGGTCCACAAATCGCAGCCCGACTATATACCTTATAAGACCACTTCCAAGGCGCTCGCCTTACCCATCTTTGTGTTTCTCTCGCATCTGTGGATCAGTCTTCCGTTTCCTCTCTGATATTTTATAACTTCGATGTTCCTCCTTTTTTGAGAAGCCGAATTCGACTGAAGAAACTAGGATAGCTATCATAATTTACTTATTTACATCAGATAGTAGGCTCTATATTTTTAAGATCTAGAGAAATTGATATTTACTAATATGGGATAAGGTTTATCTTGGATTGATTTTACGCTTGGAAGACCTGTCATCATTGACATCGCCTGGATCAGAATACATGGCTAACTATCAAAAGCAGATGAAATAATCTCTAGAAATAGCCTCTAGTGTATTTCTGAGGTGCTTGATACAGCGCTATAAACGTCCCAATTATTTTATTTGAACTTTAATCTTTTAGTTATCTTTCATCATGATTATTAGAATAAATAGCCGTTTCAAAAAAACTGTTAATGGGGCACGAATATAACTATGCAAAGTAATATTTATTTGCTGGCCATTAAATTTTTGACCGCTGTAAACATGGTTTTCTTTACTTGACAAAACAGGAAGGCATCTATAAGCAGTTATTTTAATATTATATCAAGCAAATCTTTCATTCACAGATTTGGTAATATGCGATTAAAACTACATACATATTATATATTTTAATATATATTAAACATTCAATAACAACCGAAAATGAACCTAAAAATGTTGTTCAAGAAGGACACAATATTCATACTTTTAGGTGAAGAATTATTGTCTAAAGAGAAATAGTTCAGCTTTTAAATTATATTATCCCGAATGCAGAATCGGCTTCATTAATAAAGAAAAATTCAGATATGCCGTCATATCAGTATAATAAAATTTAATAATTTTTCAATTTTTTTAATAAATTATAATTAATATGGGAAATAAATATGATGATAATGTTGCATAAATTATCTTAAAACATATTTTACAAACTGTAACATAATTACTAAGCTTCGTGCATATAGCCTCGCTGTTACTCAATATTGCCGTGGATCATGAAACCACAAGGTGATTCGAAGGAAGATCAAGGGAGGAAGTTATTTGTCGGTGGAGTTAATCACAAAACTGATGAGAAAACTCTTAGGGAATACTTTTCGCAATTTGGTGAAATCGTTGATGTAGTTGTAATGAAGGATTCCCATACCGGCAAGCCGAGGGGTTTCGGTTTTATTACTTTCAAGGATATATCGTCTGTTGACGCTACTCAAAATGCTCGTCCTCACACTTTAGATGGCAAAGAGGTGGATACTAAGCGAGCTATGCCACGTGAAGAAAGTTCTCCAGAGGTTCATGCTGCTGTTAAAAAAATTTTTGTCGGTGCTCTTAAGAAGGATATCACTAATGATGACTTAAATGAATATTTCTCCGCCTTTGGTACAATTGTAGAAGCCTCAGTTGTTACTACTAAGGGTTCTAATGAACATCGTGGTTTTGGTTTCGTCACTTTTGATGATACTGATGCTGTCGATAAGGTCATTCTTGCTCGTCCGCATAGTATTAAAGAACATAAGATCGATGTTCGCAAAGCTCTCAGTAAGGAAGAGATGAACAGGCTTAGATCAAGACCTCCACGTCAAGGACAAGGCTACTGGAACCAGGGTATGATTTTAAGTTTTGATTATAGTGTGTAATTAATATAGGCCCTCCAGATTATCGTCAGCAGGGTTGGAACCAAGGTGGCTATAACCAGGGTGGGTATGGATCTAATTATGGTTATGGTAACGAACAGTATGGTAAGCTAGTAATATTAGTCTTATGTCTCATTTTGAATAGGTAATGGTTATGGCTACGATAATTATCAGCAATCTTGGGATTATCAAGCTCCTCCGCCTTCAGATAATTTTGGATCATATAGTCATCAGTCTTATGGTGGTGGACCGATGCGGGGTGGTGGCGGTGCCAGTGGTCTTACAAATCAGTGTCCACCTTATTCTAGACCCGCGCCATATGGTGGCCCTAACTCTTGGGGACAGCAGCGTTAAATGAATGTATAAAATGATGTCTATTTATGAACGAGGCTGCATTTTCTTTTTGTATCGTCCCATTTTTAAAAAAAGTACTGTTTGATCGGAGGTCTGTTCATGTTTAGCTTTGATCTGATTTGACTTTGAGCTTAACTTCTATTTGTGAGCGTTTGGATTGATGTTCTGTTTCAAGAGCGGTTGTGCATTTGGTTTTCGTTCCGAATTTTAGATTTGGAAACCAGGCTCTTCTTGTGTTTGTCTTTGAATCCCTAATATTCAGACTTGCCGTTGAGAGTATGAATGAATGCGTTTAAAGTAGTCTATTGTTAGAAAACTATGTGTATTCAAAATAATCTGTAAGATCTGACTCCTGGTAGTGAATTCCGTGTCGTAGGGCTGGCAATTTCGTCGTAAGATTTGCGTAAAGTAGTTTTAACCGTTAAGACTTTGGCTGTGAATATTGTTATCCCTGCGCAGGATTCTTCAATCTCTATCGCATTTGATTTATTCATGTGTTTATAATCGTGAACAAGGTGGTAGGGTAGGCGGGTGAATCTGAGCACTTTTCTTTAGCAGGAAAACGGGTTTAGTAATGCGCAAGTGCTCTCTGCATTTTTGTCTACTTACAAAAGGGGTGTTGGATTTGTGTAAAATAGTAGCTTAATTTGTTTGTGTTCGTCCCGAATAGTCGCTGTTTTAGATGGTGTGAACAAGAACTCGAAAAATTATCTAATTTTACGAATGCAGACAAGAGCAATTGCAAAAATATGGCGTCAGGTGAGTGAATGAAAATCTATGAGAATGCGTCATCGAGACCTATGACGCAAACTATGATGGTTATTAATTTTGTCTAGTTTGACACCACTCTTGAAAACAATAAAGCCTATTTTGTTCCTCATTCCGATAGGCAATAGTTTGATTAGGCGTAATTCTGTTCCAAACCGTAATTTCCTAAATCATTTAGTTTCGGAAAATTACTGGCATGTTAAAATTGAAATGAGTTCCAGTTAACATGGTCCATTGGCGATTAAACAATGAACGTGATGTATTAGTGTGTCAATGTGTTAATAGCTGTTGTTAATTCAATTACTTTTTAGTAATGGCTGAAACTATTTGACAAACAAAAGTTAGGACAATTTACAGTCATATTTTCGGTTTAATGATAAGTAAACATTGTTTCAAAGTTGAGCAATGCGCCTTTCAGACGAAAAGATATGTAACTATCTTATGAATATATAATACTCACGTAAAGATGCTTTACAATGAAATGTGGATGTGTGGATTGCTTCACCACTACAACTTTCAAAGATTTTCTGAGGTGTGCACAAAAGAAAATTTTATGTGAGAACACATGGATCTGATAAGAGGGTGCCTCGATAATTCACGAGTTCTTGTCCTGGATAGACGTCACAAGAGAAATGTTGTTGGTGACTTTATGCGAAATAATATGAAAATGGTCGTTTCAATTTATCTAGGGCCTTAAACTATATGGCAAAAAAACAAAAAGATAAATTGACAACTGAGCTTCAAGAAACCGTAAGATCTTCGGGTTACTCAATCTTATTGCTTTCTCGTGCCTATCACTACCCCCTACACTATTTTATTACCCAATTTATTTCGAATCTTTCCATGATGAAAAATTGGAAACTAATTGCAATGACCTCTTTGGTGGTCGTCACATCGTCAGAAAGGAAATGAATGCGCAATCGCATTGAAGGCGTATCGGTGTGCACCCAGGATCGGATAACCAGATAGTGATGTTTCTATTTCTTTTCCAAATGTGAGTCATTGCAGCGAATAGGATAAAAACTTCGAACGCACCACAGATAAAGCTGGATACAAATAAAATATTCTTTCCACAAACTAAGCAAATCGAATAGTTGCTGCTTTATTTTAGCTGAATTCTTAAGGTATAGAAATAAATCGAATTTAGATATCGCTCATTGTTGAAAATGGAGGCGATAATGCGGACCCTGAACTTTAGTGAGATATACTTTGAGGTCAGTACACTTTGAAAGAACTGCATAAGGTCACTTAGTCCAATTATCCTATAAGAATATACTCAGATACTTATTGAGAATTAAAAATCGCAAACTCAATAAGTAACAACAATTTCCGAAGCGAGTTATAGGAATTAGTAAGGGGAAAAAATCGAACTAAGGTAAGAGAAATAACTCCATTCATCTAATCGGTAGAATGAAAGATTCATTTCCCTCTCTTCCAAAATCTCTCTGGTAGGGTAAAACATCTTGCAGTAACAGACGAATGCAAAGCTCTCCACAACGATGGATTATTGAGATATTTATAAGGAAGAAAGACGAAAAGACTAATTTCAGAGCACGTTTTTACCTGTTCTCTCGTGTTGCACCGTCTTAAACGAAGCCTTTTGAATCAGATCTAGGTCTTTAGCGGGCAGTACCAAACAAAACGCCTGGCAGGCATGGCCTTCCAATTAAAGCCCCATTTCAGACATGTTAATACGGTTGTAGCCTGCATGGTAGTCATTCTCAATTTTTACTGGTCGCCTATTTCTTGCGCCAAGACGCGCAATTCAACAGCAAAACGCTCCACTTACCGTCTTAACGCCGTGATGAGTCACCACCAAAATGCATGGGGCGAGAATTAACTGGTATTGCCTAGCAGTACACCAATTAAACGCTTTTTTGAAGTTTCGGTGGGGTGCATAATAAGGTCAATAGCAATTTTATTACTCTAGTGTAGCAACTCTGATTGGAATGTAGTGGTTCAAAGGGGTTTCAAAGTTAAAATCAAATTAGCTTTCCTGAAGTCCAAAAGAGTGGATGACAGCATACATTTAAAGTAGCTTTGAAAAATAGCCGATTAACCGTGCGATGGAATACAAGGCTATATTCGCCAAGCCTTAATTAATAACTAATCCTCTAGTTAATAAATTCGTTGTGTGATTTAAGATTTATATAATGTTATTTTTCGGTAATGACCTTTAGTGTAGTGGTTGTAAACAATCTATTTTCTCAAAGCTAATCAAGGAGAGTATTTACCATCCCTCGTCTTGGGTTTATGAACGAAATTATTGAGATTACGTGGGAAAACCTGCCTTCTCTCAGCCACCTTATTAGACCAACTTTAACGTTGCACTATTGGGAATTGGATCAAATGATCAGGGTGATTACCAGTTCATCAAGGCATGAAAATTAATTTTATAACATAGATAAATTATTTAATGGGACTAAAATGTTGTAAACCGAACTTAAAGTTGGCAATTTTTAATTTGGCGGCTTCGAAAGCATGTTATGCATAATTCTTCACAAACGCTCGGCAAAATTGAGCAGTTACAATAACTGCTATTGATATTTTGCTAGTAGCAATATATTTTTATGACAGCGAAATGTTCAAATTTGCCAATTGCTGTAGGAATGTTGGCCAAACATTTACAACTGGCCATCGGAGCCGGTAACTTTTTAAGTAATTGAATGAACTAGAATATAGCTAACATTTGAAACGTTAATTGGCCATATTTATAACAATATTTCTAATGAACTACGGCAGTGTTAAAGAGGACCACGTTGGTGACTTTGATATTTGTAAAGTCATTAGTATACTCGTAAATTTTATGCGAGAAAAAAGAGAATTTCAGCCATAATATAAATTCCTCGACGTTTTCGTCAAGCACATTTAAGGTATAATTTTGCAAATAACTTGAATATTTCAATTAGTGGCTTGGTAAATTAACCGAAGGAAACAGACAATGCGGTCTCTTTGAGGTAAGACTAAAGGAACTAAGTTTTCTTTTACTATCATGACGAAAAATGGAGTTCCGTTAAAATCCAATCTCTAAAGCTGTTACAATTTTTAAGAATTTAGTAACTATGTATCATTTAGGCACTGGTGAAGCAATTTTGCGATAGAACATTGAAGGTAAATTAAAAATTGCTTTAAATTTGTATATAAAAGTGAAAATTAAGAGCTTACCATCGTTTAGACGTGACGCGGCTCAGATTGTTCCTGTTTATGTGTGCAAGAAAGCAGAAAAATATATTAAAGAAAATGCCTCAGTTGCTGGAAACGAACCCTAGAGACTCCAAATATAACACCAATCGTGGTTTTAATTTCCAATATGCATCCAAAAAAGGAGTTTGATGATAGTTAGGCAAAAAAACGAATACAATGACCGCACTGATTCCTAAATCAAGTAGTTAATTTGACACCTTCGATTATCAATTAGTAGACAAATTTGTCTAATAAGTGAATTTGGAGGGGAATGATCCAGCACGTAAAATAGTTATGTGCTGAATTGTGTAAGAAGCACTCCATAAACACTTTCTAGCAATTAATCAGCTGTATAGATTTCAGTAATATATTAAAAGGTGTGGCAAAAAAAACAACATTGATATTATTTGCAAAATATATAAATCAGATGGTATTTTAAAACAATTTAAAATTTCTCTATAGGTATTATAAGCTTCTTTTAAAACAAAACATAATAAATAACTGTACTTGCATTTGTTGAAAGGTTCTAATCAAACATCAGGAAAAAAATTAGTTCAATCTTTGCTTGCGAATAAAATCGATTAAAAAAATTAGGTTAATACAATTCAATGTGCTCGATATCAGACACCACTTGAAGTAGCCGTATTTATCAAAATAATAGACTTACTGAATTGGAATAAAGGAAACGAAAATATTGGCACACTCTTATATTTAAAGCCAGAAATTTACCCCCTATTTATAAGTTTGAAAATCTAAACAAACGATTTCCACTCTATTCAAACGCCACCACCATCGATAGAAAAGAGCCACCGAAATTCTTCTTTTTGATTAGTTGTGGCGCTTCACTCGGGGTTGCAAGAGTCCATTAATTAAATAGGCTCTTTCTGTGTGAGAGAGATACACTGATTATAAGAGAACAAATTTCGCCCCTTCGCATCACCTCTACCCTCTCAGAAATCCCCACCTCAAGAGGCATTACACGATGTGTGGGATAGAAGAAGGCATTGGAAAGGTATTTCCCTCGAAAAGACAAATCATTTTTTTTGAAA